TTAGGGTTTAGGGTTTAGGGTTTAGGGTTTAGGGTTTAGGGTTTAGGGTTTAGGGTTTAGAGGCGCCGCCGACAACGTGGCCGAGTGGTTAAGGCGGTGCCCTGCTAAGGCATTGGGTTCTGCCCGCGTAGGTTCGAATCCTGCCGTTGTCGCTTTTTCGAGGGTTTAGGGTTTAGGGTTTAGGGTTTAGGGTTTGGCTCTAGGGTTTGGGGGTTTGGCGTTTAGGGTTTACGGCTGGGCCTTTTGGGCCAGTCTGCGCGTCTAGGGTTTAGGGTTTGGTTTGGAGGGTTTACGGCTCGGCTTTTAGGGTTTAGGGTTTGGCTCTAGGGTTTGGGACTTAGGGTTTAGGGTTTGGCTCTAGGGTTTAGGGTTTAGGGTTTGCACTGGCTGCAAAGTACCTTGGGTTTAGGGTTTAAGCTGGCTATTGAGGGTTTAGGGTTTAGGGTTTGCACTGGCTAACGAGGGTTTAGGGTTTAGGGTTTGCACTGGCTAACGAGGGTTTAGGGTTTAGGGTTTGCACTGGCTATAGAAGGTCTAGGGTTTAGGGTCTGTTGCCGTTGCTGCTGTCAAATACCCAGCGTCGAGGGTTTAGGGTTTAGCGCTTGGGCTCCAAGCCTAAAGCCAAGGGTTTAGGGTTTAGGGTTTGGGGTTTAGGGTTTAGGGTTTCGCAGTGTAAAACGAATTAAGATCGCAGTTTGGAGAAACAAGCCAGTGAGCAGCAGAATAAACAAATAAAATAAATAAATAAAATAAATAAATAAAATAAATAAATAAAATAAATAAATAAATAAATAAATAAATAAATAAAATAAAGTAAATAAAATAGATAAACAGGTGCTGCAGATTGCTTCTGCCCGCGCGGCAGCTGCTGCTGCTGCTGCTACTGCTGCTGCTGCTGCTGCTGCTGCAGCTGCTGCAGCTGCTGCTGCTGGGGAATTAGAAGGCGTTCGTGAACCCTAAACCCTAAATTAGGGTTTAACCACGCCAACTTTCGCTGCTCTGAGGATTCGGTCCTTTATTTTGTATCCCCTCTGCACCACCTGCGCCACGCTGCCCTTTTTCTGCACACAAAAACCCTAAACCCTAAACCCTAAACCCTAAACCCTAAACCCTAAACCTTAGAGCCTTAACCGCAGCGCTGCGACCCTAAACCCTAAACCCCAAACCCCAGAGCTCGATCAGTAAGCCCTCGGTCGCTAGATGTTCAGGGTTTGTGCTGTCGACCAAGGGTTTAGCGTTTAGGGTTTAGGGTTTAGGGTTTAGGGTTTAGGGTTTGCTGCATGCGCACGTCGCTGGGACCGTCCATCTCAAAGAGAGCCTCGTGAAGAGAAGGGTCGAACTTCTGGCCCATCTGCGCCCACAAACCCTAAACCCTAAACCCTAAACCCTAAACCCTAAACCCTAAACCCTAAACCCTAAACCCTAAGACCCTAGCTCACAGCTGGTTTTCTGTTGCTGCAGAACACCGCCAAAGCCCAAAACCCCAACTCTGAACCTTGAACCCCAAACCCTAAACCCTAAACCCCAAACCCTAGCCCCCAAACCCTAAACCCTAAACCCTAAACCCTAATCCCTAAACCCTAATTCCTCACCGGGTCGTACTGCTGCACCCCAAACCTCTCTAGGGTTTTGTGGAAAAGACTTTCGGTCAACGATATGCCGTGCACAAACTGCTGCAACTGCCCCAGACTCTGCTGCTGCTGCTGCTGCTGCTGCTGCTGCTGCTGCTGCTGCTGCTTCTCAAGCTGCTGCTGCAGCTGCTGCGGAAACCCCTCAAACCCAGCCGAGGAGCCAGCCGGGAGGCCCCCGAACGGAAGGCGGAAAGTTTTGCTGCGTTCATGGCGTCAGTGCGTTGAGGTGTACGTACACCTCAGGAGAAGGCGGGGCGGAAGAGTGTTGAGGTGTATGTACACCTCAGGAGAAGGCCGTGCTGCTGCCGGGTGCGGGCCGCGCTGGGGGTCCAGTCCGGCTTATTTGGTTCTTTAAAAGACATTAATTAATTAAATTAAATGTTTAATTGAAAACTAACCATCCATTTTACTCTTTGGGGCTCCAGATACACCTGGAGGGCCCCACTGTACATGCACCCGGCGGGGCCGCCGCGCTCGCGAGCAACGCGCTGCGCAAAGTCGCGGCTAAAACGCGCAAAAAGAACAAATAAAAGAATAAATAAAAGAACTAAAATACTTTTTTAATTAAATAAAACATTTAATTCCGCATTTGCGGCCTTCCGGCCGCTTCGGCAGCTCCAGCGCAGCTCAGGTGTACAGACACCCCGATGCTCGCGCAGCCGCACAACTCCTCCAGTCTTCGCAGCAGCAAATTCATTTTATTTCTTTTTAATTCCTTTTTATCTTTTTGTTTTCTATTTTGCTTTTAAAAACAAATTTAAAATCCAAAAATTCCCATTTCTACTGCCAGCTTTCCCGGCTGCAGACGTGGGGCCCCGCTGTACTATGTGCCGTCGCTGCTGCTGCTGCTGCTGCTGCTATTGCTGCTGCTGCTGCTGCTGCTGCTGCTGCTGTTACTTTTGCTGCTGCTTTCTGCTGCTGCTGCAGTTGCTGCTGCACCACCCTTTCCCTTTTTGATATGACACTTCTGCTGCTGCTGCTGTTGTTGCTGCTTCAGCGGTTTTTCGCCGCTGCTGCTGCTGCTGCTACTGCTGCTGACCTTTCTGCTCGCTGCTGCTTCTGCTGCTGCTGCTGCTGCTGCTGCTGGCCCTTTTGACTGCTGCTGCTGCTGCTGCTGCTTCCGGGGCAGATATCGCTGACTTTTTTGCACCTTGTCCCAGAGGTTGCTGCTGCCGCTGCTGCTGCAGCATCTGCTGCTGCTGCTCCTTTGACTCCACCTGCTGCTGCTGCTCTTTTTGGCCCTGCAGCTGTGGATGCTGTTGCTGCTGCTTCCGCTATTACTGCTGCTGCTGCTCCTGCTGCTCTTGCTGTCGCTGCTGCTGCTGCTGCTGCTGCTGCTGCTGCTGTTGCTGCTGCTGCTGCTGCTGCTTTGCACAGAGTCCGGCCTCTACCTCTGTTAGTATTTCGGGTGTATGCACACCTCAGGTCGAAGTCTGCGTTTGCTGCTGATGAATTTAAATTGAATTTGCTGCAGCTCCTCCAAACCCTAAACCCTAAACCCTAAACCCTACGCCTTAAACCCTAAACCCTAAACCCTAGCCCCGGCAGAAGAGAACTGCTGCGAGAAGCACGCAAGATGATTTGCAGTTCTATTAAAATTGTCGTTTCTATTATGGCTGCCCAAAACCCTAAACCCTAAACCCTAAACCCTAAACCCTAGGTCATCTGCCACAAAGCAAAGCGCCTAGAGGCCGCAGCTGTAATCTCCAGAAGATGAGTTGATCTTATTCTGCTGCTGTAGCTAGCTATAGCTAGCTGTGGCTAGCTGTGGTTAGCTGTAGCTAGCAGTGGCTAGCTGTGGCTAGCTGCGGCTAGCTATGGCTAGCTATGGCTAGCTGTGGCTAGCTGTGGCTAGCTAGCTTTAGCTAACTGTGGCTGGCTACGGCTAGCTAGTTGTGGCTAGCTAGCTGTGGCTAGCTAGCTGTGGCTAGCTAGCTGTGGCTAGCCGTGGCTAGCTGTGGCTAGCTGTGGCTAGCTAGCTGTGGCTAGCTAGCTGTGGCTAGCTAGCTGTGGCTAGCTAGCTGTGGCTAGCTGTGGCTAGCTGTGGCAAACTGAGTGTTTGTAGACACTCTTTTAGGGTTTGGATTAAAGGAATTCGGGGAGTGGGGCAAGCGGTTGAGATAAAACCAGAAAGAATACAAACCCTAAACCCTAAACTCTAAACCCTAAACCCTAAACCCTAAACCCTAAACCCTTAACGCTTGAGTTACATCTAAGATAACAACAACAAGACAGTGTGGAGCCGCAGAGATGAACGAAAGCACTTCTGTGAAGGCATTAGGCGCTAGGGTTTGGGGTTTAGGGTTTAGGGTTTAGGGTTTAGGGTTTAGGGTTTAGGGTTTATTTAGCTGGAGGGCCACGTGTCTAGCGTCTTCTAGCTTTACATTAAGCATTTAAAAACTCTGAACAGCTATAGGGTCTAGGTTTTAGGGTTTAGGGTTTAGGGTTTAGGGTTTAGGGTTTAGGGTTTGGCGTTTGGCGAGCCCGAATTAGCCAGAGGGCCCCGGAGGGCCCTGGGGCCCCCCTGAATGTTTGTAGCCTCATTTGTTTGCTTCTTGCGTTCATTTTACGTTTTTAAAAGACATTTTATGTTTTTATTTCGTTAATTTGATTCAATTTGAGCGTTTAAACCGCTGAAAGCCTCAAAATAAACCCTAAACCCTAAACCCTAAACCCTAAACCCTAGGGTGAACCCCCGGGTGGCTCAAGGGGTGGCTCGCAGGTGTCCATACACCCCAGCGACCCGTTTTTCTCGCTTTCATTTCCTTTCATTTCATTTAATTATTTTATTTTATTTATTTTCGACCTTTAGCTGCAGCTTCATGCGAAGATTCTGGCTGGCTCTGCAGCAGCAGCAGCAGCAGCTGCTGCTGCTGCTGCTGCTGCTGCTGCACGGAGGTAAGGCGGACCGGGGTCGTTTTTCGCCGTTTTTCCGCGCAAATGCTTCAAATTGCGTCCATTTGAGTTTTTAATTCTTTTTAATTTCCATTTTTTTCATTTATTTGCAATTTCTGCGATTATTTTGCGACTTTTCGCCAGAAATTTCGCCCGCGGAGGCGCAAACGGCCACCGGCGGCAACTGCGTGGATTTGTTCCCCGCAGATGCTGCTGTTCTTTCCTACTGCAAAAACGGCGCTTCTTGCGGCGTCAACGTTTCCTCAGGTTTGCTGCTGCTGCTGCTGCTGCTGTTTTGCTGCTGCTGCTGCTGCTGTTTTGCTGCTGTTGCTGCTGCTGCTGCTGCTGTTTTGCTGCTGCTGTGTCTGCTGCAGCTGCTGCTGCTGTTTTTGTCGCTGCTGTTGAAGCTGCTGCTTTTTCCGCTGCTGTTTTGCTGCTGCTGCTGTGTCTGCTGGAGCTGCTGCTGCTGTTTTTTTCGCTGCTGTTGAAGCTGCTGCTCTTTTTCCGCTGCTGCTGCTGTTTTGCTGCTGCTGCTGCTGCTGTGTCTGCTGGAGCTGCTGCTGCTGTTTTTGTCGCTGCTGTTGAAGCTGCTGCTCTTTTTTCCACTGCTGCTGCTGCTGCTGCTGCTGCTGGTTTGCTGCTGCTGCTGTGTCTGCTGGAGCTGTTGCTGCTGCTTTTGTCGCTGCTGTTGAAGCTGCTGCTCTTTTTTCCGCTGCTGCTGCTGCTGCTGCTGGTATGCTGCTGCTGCTGTGTCTGCTGGAGCTGCTGCTGCTGCTTTTGTCGCTGCTGTTGAAGCTGCTGCTCTTTTTTCCGCTGCTGCTGCTGTTTCTGCTGCTGCTGCTGCGACTTTTGCATCTGAGTTTGCTGCTGCAGTACTCGACATTTCTGCTGCTGCAGTCGCTGTCTTTGCTGCTGCTGCTGCTGCTGTCCTTTCCACCTCTGCTCGCACTACTGCTGCTTCTGCTGCTGTTCTTGCTGCTGCTGCTGCTGCTGCTGCTGCTGCTGCTGCTGCACTTGCCTCCTCGTCGCCCCCAAGTAGCTCTCTAGGCCCCCCTTCGTTTATTATTTATTTATTTATTTATTTTTACTTATTTATTTATTTATTTTTATTTATTTATTTATTTATTTATTTATTTATTTATTTATTTTCCATTTAGGCACTTTGCTGGAGTTGGTGTGCGACTGCCAGTCGCTGCAAACCACAGAGAAGTTTTACGGGGGCCCCGACTGCAGCATTGAAGAGAAAATGAACTACATCATGGGCTCTCGTGAGGGTTTAGGGTTTAGGGTTTAGGGTTTAGGGTTTAGGGTTTAGGGTTTGCGGGGCGTATGCGGCGTAGAAGGCTCATTGCGAGGGGTTTGCTCTACGCAGCAGCAGCAGCAGCAGCAGCAGCAGCGGCGTCGCCTGGCTCGCAGGCCGCAGCGGGCCAGGCCCGGGGATCCACTAGGGTTTAGGGTTTAGGGTTTAGGGTTTAGGGTTTAGGGTTTAGGGTTTGCGCGCAGTGGGGAGCGACGTGCCGAACACCTGCTGGCTGGAAAACCTGCTGGGCCTCAACGCCTGGAAAGATGTGGGAGGAAGAGTTTCATCTTTTTGTTATTCTGTTCCTTGTCCCAGTCCAGATTCAGGCTCCTGAAGCAGCAGCAGCAGCAGCAGCAGCAGCAGCAGCAGCAGCAGCAGCAGCAGCAGCAGCAGGGGGAGGGGCGGCGGCAGCAGGGGCGGAGCGGCTGCGGGAGCCGCAGCAGCAGGAGCCGCAGCAGGAGACCGCCTGGAGCCGCAGGAGCGCAGCAGCAGCAGCAGCAGCAGCAGCGGCAGCAGAAGTGGCAGCAGCAGCAGCAGCGGAGCTTGGAGTAGCAGGAGCGCAGCAGCAGCAGCAGCAGCAGCAGCAGCAGCAGCAGCTTGTTGCTGCTCGCTGCCTCTCTTGCCGCTCGAGGCCCTGAAAGAGCATTTTAGTTAATTAATTAAATTAATTAATTTAATTAATTTAATTAATTAATTAAATTAATTAATTAAATTAATTAATTAATTAATTAATTATGTAGTTTTAATTTATTCGCTGATTTATTTGCCCCGGCTTCTCTTCTTTGGCTTGCTGCTGCTGCTCCCGGTTGCTGCTGCGCAGCAGCAGGCGAGTCGTTTGCTGCTGCTGCTGCTGCTGCTGCTGCTGAGCTGCTGCAGCAAATCGGGGCTTCTGCAGTGGCGAGCTTGAGGCGCCGCTGCAGCAGCTGCTGCTGCTGCTGAACCTGCAGCAGCAGCAGCAGTTGCTGCTGCTGTTGTTTGCAAGGAGTCAAGTAGCTGCAGCAGCAGCAGCAGCAGCTGCTGCTGCTGCTGCTGCTGCAGTTGTGACCCAGCAGGTGTTACATGGAATGCAGAACAAAACAACTTCATTCTTTTATCGGAGTTTTTGTTGACAACGGGGCTCAGAAACCCCAAATTAGGGTTTAGGGTTTCGAATTTAGGGTTTAGACCCTCTTTGCTATTTCACCTTCCCTTTTGGGGGCCCCCAGGGGGCCCCCAAGGGCCCCCCTTGGGGGCCCTTTAGGGGCCCCTAAGGGCCCTGAAAAGTTTCTTAGGGGGCCCCCAAGGGTCCGGGGGCCCCCTTGGGGGCCCTAAAGGGGCCCATAGGGGCCCCTGGGGGGCCCACAGGGGCCCCTCTGGGGGCCCCCTTGGGGGCCCTTTCGGGGGCCCCTAAGGGCTTCTTGGGGCCCTCTTGGGGGCCCTTTTGGACGGCCTTTAGGGGTCCTCCTAAGGGGCCCCTTGGGGCTCCTGGGGGCCCCCTCGGGGGCCCCCATTCTAGACCCTCCCCAGTTTGGGGGCCCCTCTAGAGCCCAACACAAGGGGCCCCCCTTGGGGGCCCCCCTTGGGGCCCCCAGGGGGCCCCCAGGGGGCCCCCCCTATAGGGGGCCCCCTGGGGGCCCCCTGTAGCGCTGCTCAGTATGATTACTCTCAGCATGGGGCCCCCTAGGGGCCCCTTTT